GCTCCTCACCCTGCAGCACCGGTCCCTACGGCGAAGGAAAGGCTGCCCTGAACTCTAGAGGTGGAAGCAAGTGACTAAAGACGGAAGGTGGGAAGCAGCAGCACTAAGGATGACGGTGACAAGTTTGAGGCCTCGTTAAGGAATTAACGTGCATTTTGAGCGCCCAGCACACCGAGCAGGTCCTCCAAAAGCAACCAGGCCAGAAACGATTCACGTTCGTCTTAGTCCAGCTCCGCTAGCCCATCAGCTTTTTATAAAAATCGGAATTATGGAATTCGGTTTCTTTATGCTGAAAGCAGAAATAAAACCAATATTCCCCCATCTCTGCAAGCCCGAACGGAGAACCTGAGACGGAGAGCCTGATGTGAAAGCGAAGCGAAGCTGGGCTACCGCCGCTCACCCTACCCAAATGTCTACCGCTGCACGCCCAGAAATAGGTTAAAAAGCTTGGAACGGAATTTTTTGAATGACCGTATCTTTACACGGAGGCATCTCCAATACATTTTACCACTTATTATTTATATCTCCAATATATTTTACCATTTAAAGTTCCTACCCAAAGGGAAAGACCTAGGGCTCACCCACCTCCCCACACCGCATCCTTTACTGGGACCAGTCTGGTCAAAACCCTCTCCGGCAACGAGTCGGTTCAAGTATTTTCCAAAGCTGGTGAACGGACGGATTACCCCAAACCCCCGCACAAACCCGGCTTTGCCAAACACGGAACGGGAATCGGCGTCTCGGCGGTCAGATGAAAACGGTTGGTGTGACCGGGCGGCTGAAATAACGGATGAAACGGGAACCTTCCATTTTGGGTTGCAAGTCACAAAATGGTGCTAATCAAAGGTTAACAAGAGCGCTAGCATCAATTTGGAGAGACTCCCTGCATGTAATTAGTATTAGTACTACACTTAATTTATTTGTGGAGCAAGCAGAAGTGACCGACTTGCAAATTACATCTTTTTCAAGATAGCGCACACAGGTTTCACTGGTTTTACACGCTGAAAGCGTTATCAAATCATCTTCTAAAAATAAAGCTATTACACAGTGCACAAATAACCATGTAATCTATAATACCCAGTAACTATCATGTATTTAGTCAACCTATGGGCTGCAGAGAATCTGGTAATTAAGCCGAGTTTCAATGCCACTCCAAGCACTGGTACTACCCCAGTTTGCCTTTATTAGATAAAATGGAACAATTTCGTTTACAAAGGGGGAAATAACTAATTAGGCTTTAATTACATGGTAGTTACCATAGATTTATAAACTAATGAGGTGGTTTGGGCCCCAATAAGATTTATTTCCAGGCTGCATCCACTGAAAAAACGCAGACCGAGGGGCAGACCACAGGAGAACGAAAAAGAGAAGCGTGGGATAAGAAACTGGCATTTTTGGAGAGAAAGCTCAGTTACAGCTGAGAAGCCTTCAGAAATCCTGAGGTTCTGCCTGAAGAAATGATGCGTTTTGGGGTCTCGGGGCGGGGGGAAAAAGAAGGTATTACGTTAGGAAACCTCTCTTCCATACGGCACGAAGAAACCCGCAGCCTCCGACGTGCCATGGTCATCGCTGGTGGGTACGGCCCCTCCACGCAGAGATGGGCAAGCGTGGCTTCTCCCAGGGAGCAAACGCTCATCTTTCACGGTATTTGTTCAATTCCGGGAAACAACCGACGTGGCGATACCTGGGAAACGCTTCTCAAGTCCAGCCGGGGCTGGAGGCAGCCGTCTCGCCAACATCCCGGCACCGGTTCTCCTTTCCCTCCGCAGACCGCCGTTATCTCTAACGTAACGCCGCTTGGGTCAGATCACAGACGAAGCTGATCCTCTCTTCGTTTAAAACCCAGGACTGAGATGTTTTTGCCGACTGTCTCATGCCTAAGCAGCGTGCCCTCGGCTGCGGGCCTTCGCAGCTGAAATGCAGTTCCCCAGCACTGGGTCCACGTATGATGTTCGGTGCAGCCACAGCCCATACACTGGTACTCACTGGTATTCACTGGCGTTCACCCCCCCCGGGCACCGCGGGCAGGCTCTGCTCAGCCTTGCAGCTTGTAATTTCTTCACCGTGTCATGGAGAAACAGCAACTGGGATCAAGGAGGAGACTGCACCACCGCAAATGGTCCCCTCTAGGGAAACCTCCGTCGCACACTTCTCCACCTCACCTCCTCATCACCCTCAGCCCACCCCAGCAAAAAGTTTCTTCAGCATTTTCCTCTGTCCTCCGCCGTTTCCACTCTCTTATTTTTAGGACCGTTTCACGCTTTCCCCATACTCCCCATCTTCCTCCAGACCTTTCATCCTTGTTTGAAGGCGTGCGGAGATTCGGCAGAGATGAAACCGTTTCCAGCAAATCAGGGGCGGTTGAAGATGCCTTACATCTCTCCTCCTGCCCTGTCCTTTATCCCGCTGTTGCAAGGCTTCTGAGAGATCTTTATGGCCGGGATGGGGAAAGGTATCGGTAAAACATCACTGGACTGTTCATTTAATTGAATTTTAGGGTCCTTTCACAAGGACCCATCCTCTGGGTGCTTCTATTTCCAGTATGAAAAGGCCTTTGACGAAGTCTGCAAACGTGCTAACAATAGCTGCTTTTATGCGGCTCTGTTTCCCGAACCCAATTCATTATCTGCAGGTGATCCATCGCTGAGAAATCTCTCCCCATTCCCGTCGGCGCTGCTGGGTGATTAGCCCAGAAGTCCCCGTCTTCTCTTCATTTACGCTTTTACAGCGATTCTTACATATAATACACAAAGGACGGGTGGCAAGGGTCTCTAGGGCAGCAAACCTTCAAGCTTTCCCAGGTAACGAATCGGGAAGGTAAGAAAGAGGCGGCCGACCAGAAAAGTAGGATGCGATCGCCTGGAGTTAATTTATTGGGATGAAATATTTGGGAAGTTTGAATTATAAAGTCACTTGTAAAAGGACTGATGTCGTGTGGTACCCAAGTAATGGCAGGGTGAGATTTAGCCCATGATCTGACCACCGCACACTGGCCCGGGAAACGACGACGGTGCCACAACCCCAAAATAAGCAATAAAATTGGGTAACGCTCCCAACGCTGGGGACAAGCGATGAATCCATCGCATTTAATCGCACAGAAAGGTGCAAGAGATGAGAGCAGAGGGGGGGTTTGAAGGTACAGGCTGGTAACGAGGCTGAGCCCAGAGGACTCCCAACACCCAGTGTGAAGATAGTCACTGGGGAGGAGAAAAAGATTTAATTACAACACTTCTATTGAATTTTAAATTCAACCAGAACTAAACATCCAATGACAGACAGTTGTCAGTGGTGTAAATACAAGAATAGTAATAAAGTCAGCAGTTCAAAGCAATGACAGCCCTGTATCACTGAAGGATGGGGATGCCGGCAGCATCGCTCCTCAGCGTTGCCTAAATCCCGCGCTGAATCTCCAGGCGAGGCTCCACGAGGAACCGAAGGACTAAAACGCAGGTCAGGATACAGACTTGCACCCGTGTTGCTGGTATTTCAAATCAACACTTCTAAAAACAATCCATCTCTCCTCATCATTTTTCTGGAAGAAAAACCACATCACCACGCCCGGTCCCGTGGACTGTCCCTGCCCTTCGTTGTGCCGGGGAGCACCGGGGAGCCTCCAACACCGCAGGGCACAAATGGGACGGCTTTCTGCGGGAAAGCGAGCGAGAGGAATACATGGGTTTCACCAGGACTCATCTCTTCCCTCGTTGCTTATTCCCCACCTGTGCTGTCCTTTGGTTACGAATCTGTCATCCGAGCTGCCTCTTCTCCTCCACAACAGAGGGATCCTGGACCAAATCCTCTCCTCTTCGTGTTTTTTGGACTTTCTTTCCTTCCTTCTCATTAGCTAATAGCAAGCAGATGATGATGATGATCATCATCATCCAGCTTCAGACTAACAACAGTACTTTGAAAAATATTTTGGTAAAACTGGAAGATGATTACATGAGGGAAGGAATGAAGTTTTTTTAAACTAGAGACCTAAATTGCCATTCGATACAACTTCAAAGCTTGCTAATCTCAAGGCAAAGGAACTGGTTAACAAGGTTTCACCAGCAAACTCACATGAAGCAGAACAACGTTCACCAGGAAAAGACCGCCAGGACCGCCTCAGCATAATTCACTTATTTCATTTTCTATGGGTTAGTCCCAACTGGTATAACCCCACTACCCACCTTCAGTCCAGGTCTGGGGTGAACCCCTCTGAAACAACCAATTCTCTCTAAAATGCAACACAACCACGGCTCAGATCTGTCCTTTGACCGATCTCCTCTGAAATTTTTCAGTACAGTGCCGAAGTTAGCTCCCCTCCCTCACTTCGAACGGCAATTTTAACAGACCGCTCACCATCCATGACACCACCGACGAGCTGCAATGCGATATTTCCATCACGGTGCTACCCCACCGGAAAGCGAACGGACGGCAGTCCTATTTCTATCCTCACCACAAAGCGTGGGAAGTTAACCATGTCCAGCAGCTGCCGGCTTCCCAGCCCAGTTGTTTTCAGCGCTGAAACGTAAAACTAGCGAGCGGCACTTTGGGTCCAGGTATTTCGGAGCAGCAGACTGAATGAGAGTAAAGCAAGTACAATTAGCACAAAAATGCCAGCGTGAGAGCAAAACAACAAAAAAAGCCCATGGGGAAGAGAACGCAAGGAGTCCGGGGGCTGCTGGTGGTCCGCGCAAACCCCATTTGCGAGCCGTTGAGAAAATGGGCCCGCCGACACAGCGAGAAAAACACCCGAAACTGCCATATGGTGCCCAGCAATTTATTAAGACATCTTCGGTGGCTTGCAGCAAGCTTCCTGACCTGTCGTTCCTTCGATTTATCCAAATCTCAGCAAAACACACTGACTAAATACAGCTGAGCCCAGAAGGGAGCTTATTTTAAAACAGTATTGCTAAAGAAATCCGGGATCTGATCTTCCATTAAAGCCATTCCTTTAAAAACACGTATATTAGCATCTTTCCTCTATTTCGGCGGACGTGTGTGTTGTTCCAGGGCTACCGCACACGCAGCGCTACATTAAACCAGTGCCTCTGAATCGAGAGCGGAGACTCCGGCCGCGGACACTGAAGTGCCGCCTTCCTCCGCGCGGCCACTGGTTTGTTGAAATTGTTGCAGGGACTAAAACAATAAGCTATTGAAATGCCAAATCGGACTCACGCTGCACTAGTAGGTATTTAAAATTGTCAGGTCTCCAAGATTAAATTAGAATCAGGGACTTTAATAAGAAGCGAGTTAAGGAGTGATTCACAGAAGGGGAAAATGCATTAGGTTTGGACTTATTCGACAACAAGGGACTATTACCAAGCAACCATTTTGAAACTCTCTGAAAGTCTGCATCTGTCTGATTGATTTCCTTTCACTCAAAATTGCCTTTTAAAAACAACAAAATCTACAGAGCATCATCTCTTGGCTGGTGAGGGAGGAAAGCCAGACTGCGCGGGGCGTTAATAGATGCGTTTGAGGAGCGGATAGCTTCGTTCCAGATACGGGAGCGGCATCTCCACCTGCACAGGCTACACCCCGCGCATCAGTCACCCGCTCCGGGTAATCGCTACAAACCACCATCTAAAGGGTGGTTTTAAACTGGGAGTAAACTGGGAGCAGCTCAGCTGATGCCCAGATTTCCAGCTACTCCCCAGTCCGAGCCCTGGTGCGGACCTTCGCTCAGACACCTAACCGAGACAACGATCCAACTTTAACAAATACTTTACAGCATAAATCTTAAAATGCCCTACGATTTCGTAGCAAGTCACTCAGCAAAAGGACAGGGAGGTTTCGCATTCGCTGCCCCAGTCCCTCACCAAACACGGTGGCTGCCGGAGCGCAGACGGACAGACTACACCCGTAGATGCTCGTAAAGACGCTGCGGAGTCCCGTTAACTTTATGCAGTTTGTTTCTGCATACACGCGTATAGCTCTCAGCAACCGACTGGGAAAACAAAAATATATATATTTTTATATATATATATATATATATATATATAAGAGAACCATTTTTAAATGGCAAAGTGTTTAAATTTAAAACTCCAGATTACAAAAAAAAACCCCAAAACATTATGATTGGCAAAGCATATGGGGCCTTCGAGATAATGTCCTGCCCCCTCCCTCCCTCGGCTCCTCTCAGCAGCGAGGAGTTTCAGCTCTTTTGTCTTTTCAGGGACTAAGTTAATTTTATTCTACTCAAACAGTGACTCTGCTGCAGACAAAAGGAAAAATGAAGACCCACTGCAGTGAAACAAGTTTTATAATTCATTAAAGTGAATTATCTTTCTTCTCCTACAAACTGCGTTAGGCGGTTGGGAAAAGGAAAAAAAAAAAAAAAAAAGACAAGCAAACTGTTAAACCCAGAACTTGTCAGCAGCAAAAACCTCGTCGGCAGGAGGATTTCAGGTTATCCATCTCCCTTCGCGTCTCCCCTGCTCCTCGCAGCGAGGATGCAACACCAGGGCGCAGAGCGAGATCTCGCACGGTTGCTTTGCAAGTCTTCGTGCCAGGATGCGGATGAGAGAGCTTCTTCCACGGACCAGAGGAGCCAGAGCCGACTTGCACCCCAAGGCACCTCGCCAGGGCACAGTTTGGGGGAAAAGAGCCAGATTTAGCCTCCGACGAGAGGCATTTCGGGAGGACACATCCTCCTTCTTTGCTGGGAGCCTGAAGAAACACACTTCCATCTGTTTCCTTGCCGGTAGGGACGCGACCAAAAAGTATTCGGGCTTGGCAGAAGAGGGGTAAAAAGCCCGATCCCCCCACACGAGCTCCCCAAGACGGCAGGGAGAGGTCCAGCCTCTTTCCTTCGAAATCCCGTTTCCGTAGCTTGCTTCTTGGGACCCCTCTCCTTTGGGAAGGGGAGGGATGCACCCGCCTGCTCCCCGGGAGAACCCCGGCCATCCGAGACCGCAATGTCAGGCCCAGAAAGATTTGGACGGGGAAAGGCAATGCTTCGAGACGCTGCATGCAGAAGGGTTTCTATTCCCTGCAAGTATTTCTCTTTATGCAGGTTTGGTGATAACGATCCTGTTTCTAGCCCCCAATACCGAACGAGAGCATTAACTGGAATGAAAGATAAGTATTTAAATGTTTTGTCTTTGTGTATCGAAGCACACAGCTGCTCTGCTCCGAAGTACGGGCAGGGCATAACCCAAAGCTGCAGGGCCAGGAGAGGGAAAACAGGCAGTAAGCAGCGGCACCCTCTTCCCGAGATGACAGATGGGTTTTGGTTAGGTCTAATCCCAAAGAAACAGGATTCTTGCATTCATTTTCTGAGATTCAGTGAAAATGAGGCCGAAATCCAGGATACTCTGGAAAAATACACTTAGTGGCTTCAGGCGGTTTCAGCTTATGGTCACTACAATTTTCCCCACAGAAGCCCAAGTCCAGCAGCACCGCAACGCTGACCCTACAGGATCCAGAACTGGGTGTTTTAAGGCATTTTTAATTCTTCCATTGAACCGAAGGGCACGTGGCCACAAGTTATTTTATCATTAGCACCGTCTGGCCCCTGCGCAGCCGTACCGAGCTGCTATTTTGACGCAGGCGCCCAAAAGGCACCAGCGCAGGGCTCCGGCAGCCGGCACGCCGGGAGAGCGCATGCACCAGCCGCCCCACCGACAGCACCGCGCGTTTGCATATTCAACAGCAGCGAGGTTCGCCTTTAAAGACCAGGCATGAAAAATTTACGCAGGAAAAGAATCGCTACGAGAAAGCCAACTACTGCGACGAAAACCAAGAAACGGGAGGAAACGCGCGTCTCGGGGCAGATCCTCCAGCGCCTCCGAGCACAACAGGACACCTTTCCTCCTGCCTCGCCGCTCCCCGTTGCACCACGGGACCGGAGGAGACACAGCTCATTTCAGCCCAAACCGAGAACTTCTCTGGCTTTTGCCTTCCCTCACCACCTTAATGGTCTTTTCATGCCTCTTTCTCCCCTCTCTCGAGTCTTTCCATCATCTGGCAGAACGCTCCTCCGCCGCCGAGGAACCAGGCAGAGGGCTGCCTCTAATCTACCACTGGGACTCTGAAATAGGACAATTTCAGGGTTCAGCCCCAAAATCCACACTCAAACCCGAGCAGTAGCACGCTCCATCCAGCGAAAGCCTGTTAAGGCATCCCAGCGCGTGCACGGCTCCGCCGGAGCTGGAACCCCCTACCTGGAAATACCTGCGGCCGCCACGAAGCCGAAAGACTTCGATTAGGGATGAAACAAAATGGATGCGGCTTCGCAGGACCGACGTGCAATGGTCGCGTCGATGCTCCGTGGAAAAAAAAGCGCCCAAGGCTCTTTATAGACTCCTCCGTGCCGGTCTTCAGTCTAATTTTAGAGAGGAGGCTTGGAAGCGCTTCTCCTCACACCCTCCAAATTCCAAATGCTGGTGCTGGTCTTCAGAAGGATTTCAGGCATATTCTGGATACCGTTATCACAAATAACCGGATAATATGCCGCATCCAAGGGACAGAGTTGCAAAACCGATTGCGATCCGAAGTTTAGCGTTATCCCCCCTTTCCTCAATGCATCTTAAATAATCCCGTCTTTGCGAGGGCTGAGAGCGAGCAATTGGAAGCGATATGCCACATTTATATGAAAATCATGGAGAATAAAAAAAGAATAAATCCCAGCACTGTAGCCTCTCCCCCGACCCACTTCCCGCGGACGGGGACAAGCTTTCTGAGGTCCGGGCACGTAACGAGGCGTTTGACAAACCTAAAAACATCCGACCTGGGATCATCGCCCACTCTGGTTCTGCACAAGACAAGACCGTATGGCGACGGGAGGGAACCGGTGAGTCACGACGAGGAAGCCCCCCTACCGTAGGGCAGCGTTATCAGCAAACGGGCCAGAGCTCCACGTGAAAACGGCGCAGTAGCACCCAGAGTTGTTAAAACGAACGGAGGGAGAACCGCGCTCTCGTATTCATTTTACAGAGCTCATTGCCCCACTTACGTGGGTCACGCTGGGGAAAAACAACAACAAGAAAAAATTCCCTGAAACTACTTCAGTTTTCCTTGATTCCATGAAAGAAAAACCAAATTCTAACAGCATTCTTTAAGATTTTGGGCATCTGAAGGGGAGAGAGCAGAGGGCAAGGAATACCTCCAAGGAAACACATAGGAGATGAAAAGCTGCCCAGCTCAAGGATGGGACCCGCGATGCCCAAACAAACCCCCCAGGCCTGGGGGTCCCCGGGTCCCGCTCCCCTCCCCGGCCCGAGGCCGTTTCTCTCTGCAGCCCCACCGAAGCCGAGCCACGTCCATCACCGGACCCAGGCACCGGCCACACCGCCGGGACGGCTTCCATCCTCTGCCCAATTAACCCAGGAAATCATTTCTCTCCGAATCAGGTTTGGCGCGTGAAGGCAGCGGTGTCCAAAGGCCAGTCTCCAGTTTAGCTGCGGGTCCGGGAAAGAGCAGGAAAGCTTGGGATGCCGTGCTCGGCTGGCGATGCTCAGGGAAGGGGGAAAGCCACCATCAGCCTCAGCTGCTCCACAGAGAGCTGGAAAGCACCAGGAAGCCACCAGGTACGTAGCTCCGTTTTAAGGTTAGCTAAACTTTATGCCCGTTCGTTTCCAGCTTTAACAAAAAAAAGCAAAACAAGAAGCACTGCACATCCACGGGCCAGCGGCATCGCTCCGGACACGAAGCTTCGTCCCCAGCTGCACCGTGAGAGCGCGGGCAAGCTGGGCCCACGAAAGCAAGACCCGACTGTCACACCGGGCAGGCTGACGTATTCGTTAAAGTCCTGATTTCAGAGTAATGCTCTTTAAGGGAAAAAAAAAAAAATAATTAAACAAACCATCTCTTTCTCAAATGACCCAGATAAGCATTTCAACTCCACCTCTCGCAGTAAGTACGTGCCACGGCAAAACGAGCCTCTCCCCAGGCAGATGGTCCACCGGGACACGTGCGAGCACAGCTCCTCGCTTTTCCACTGCTTTCCACGGAAACCTCCCGAAGAAAGCGCAGCCGAGGCGGAGAATATTTGTGATTTTTTTTTTTTTTTTTAAATAGCCAAATTACCTGAAATACTGACACTGATCAAGAGAAATGACTTGAAGTCTATCCATAACAGCAAAGGAAAGAACTACGGGCTCATCGCGACATCTCACTTCCCAGGCCCTGTCGCTCGGTGCATCGCCCCGAGATGATGCAAACCAAGTCAGGGAACAGCGATAGATCATCCCACGTGTTTAAAAAAACCTGCAAAATAACCTACATGCAACAACAACAAAAAAAAGCCTTGGCAAATGAAACCCCAGCCATCTGTAACCGGGCTCCTCTGAACCACCTCGAGATTAAAGAGCAGAAATCCACGAGTCTCCGGGCAAAACCCAAAGCCGCGGCTTTCCACGGCGGGATCGCTCGCAGCACCGAGGAGCTACGGAAGCGAATGGATCCCCAAACCGCGTCCGCGCTCGACCTGCCCGCGCAGAAGCGCCGGCGAGGCCTCGGCACGGCAGCTCCCCGTAAAAGTAAGTTTCTTCTCCATCTTCCAGCAGTCGATCCAACACTATAAAACTGCAGCGGCATGTGGCACGGCCTGATAGGTTGAATTTCTGCGCGCGAGGTGGATAGCTTTACACGGGGATTAGATTTATAGCCAATCTCTTTTTTTTTTTTTTTAAACAGAAACATTTTGCTGTTGTGCCTCGGCACAAACACGATGCAGAGCCGCGCGCTCGGTGCTCACACGCCAGCAGCTTTAAACACCACCCGAACCAAATACCGCTTTAAAAAATAAAAGTCGCTCTCCGTGGGGTAATACAGTGGGTTGTGAAAAAAATAGGGATTTTTTTTTTTTTTTCCCCCTCCTCATCCCTAGTTCTTGTTATTGCCAAAATGTTTTAAAAATCAGCGATTCTTACAAGCGAGCGGTGCGACGGGACTCCTTCCGAGCCGGGATGAGCGGGGCCGCTCGCCAGACAAAGGCTCCCAAAAAGGGGGTGAGTTATCCGGTGGGCAGGGGCCGCAACCCGCTACCCCCCGCGAGATCAGGGTCCGGCGAGCGGTTTGTAGTGCAGAGAGTTGTCAATTAACCGGGAAATAAATTTAAAAAAAAAAAAAAAAAAAAGCTTCAGTGATTGTTTTTCCTTAAACGCTGAAGGGAGCAGCGAGCGCTGGAAGCAGCGCAGTGAATGAAGCCGGGAAGCTCCTCTCATTTAAACCCCCCTGCATCCTCCGAGCGGTTGATCGCGAGCCCCGCACCGCTCCCTCGGAAGAAAACATTGGCAGAAAAGGCACTTTCAAGAGCATCTTAAGTTTAATTAACTCTGCCGAGTAGATATTTCTGCTCTCCCCCTCCCAGAAACATCTGAAAGGAGGCAGTGATCCCCCGCCACCAGGAGCACAGCAGGGATTGGGATGCTCCGAGCGGAGCCGGGTGCCACGACTGGCAGGAGCCCGTTAGCCGTCGGAAGAGGAAGCCAGGCCGCTCTCGGCACGGGCAAACCGCAGCGCTGCAAAGATGGATGCTCCCTGTCAGCTGCACGTCACATTCGGTTTCACGCAGCCTCGTGATCAGGAAAAGCGCCGAAGCGAAGGTTGCACCTCGCGCCGGAGATCTTAACGGCTCGGAAACCAGGTCGCCGGCCCCGAGATGGGTCTTTTTTTGGCCGTTTCCCACCGCCGGGCGATCAGCAGCTCCGACGCGCCCAGGAGAACCAGGAATGCAACAAATTCCAGGCATGCTCCTAAATCACGGCAAGGCACAGGGATCCCTAGAGGCACCCATCTGAGGGGACATGAACCGCGTTTCGGATAAGGTGCAAACGCGGTGAAGGCGGTGTTTCACCCCGAGGACGCCAGGCCCCAGCGGCACCCCGGCGCGACGGCTGCCCTGAGCTCCCGCGACGCCCACGTGAGCCGAAATCATGTTTGCCCCCGGTGACAGGAGCATCGCGGGCCACCCAGTGACGTGCCAGAGCAGAGCACCGGCGTTTCGAGGGGTGGGGGGTCTCTCCCTGCGCACCAAGACAGCTCAAACACGGCCAGCCCTCGGCTCCCCCGCCACAACGCTCCTCTGCCGGTAGCCAACCACGCACAATCCTTAAAAACCACCGTCCTCTTGAACCGCTTGTTGTTGCAATCCTTCCCCAACCCCCACCGAAGAACACCGAGAAATAAGAGTCAAAACCTCCCACACCTTCTTCCAGAAGGACGCCGTTCCCCACGGGCTCATACCCCCCCTTCCTCCTCCAGCCTGTCAGCAGCCAAGGCAGGCTCAAAAAAAAAAAAAAAAAAAAAGAAAAAAAGATAAAAAAAAAAAAAATCCCTTTTCGGGGGGGGATTTCAGCAAACAGAAGGCGAGGAAGGCAGCTAAAGCGAATCGATACGATCACATCCATATGCTGTCGCTCTTCCTCCTTGCTTTCAGCTACCCTCTGCTTGCCCAAACCTCCTCCTCCTCTCTTCCTGGCAAAGCACCCCCTGCCATCAAAGGGACCCTTCTTTTGAGGCGCGGAGGGGAAGGGAGAGCGTTTTTAAATGTCTCAAACAGTCTTGTTTTGGGAAATTGAGCAAAGGGGAGAGGAACCGTGCCGCCCAGCTTCCCAAACGCCGAGTGAGGAAGGGCCTGTGCCTCCCCAGAAGCAGCGTTTTCATCCCCCCCCGCCACCCCGATCCCCACGGCAAAAGAGGTGCAGGCAGGGTTGCGGGCAGGGCTGCCTGTGCTGCCCACACAGAAGGAGGCAGCGGCTGCTGGACTCTCTTGCTCCACGTTAAAGCAGAGATTTGAAAGTTTTCCTCGCTGCCCCCCTCCTGGTTTTGACGTGGGGAAGCCAAGAGGGGCGCGAGTGAAGAAAGGAGGCAGAATCCTGCAGGGCAGAAAACCTGGTTTCCCAACCGGTGGCAGAGCGAGGCAGGGACGGTCAATCACCCGTTCCCATCGCCTCCCTAACGAGGGAACGGGGAAACGCCGCGATGGCAACGCAGAAGGAAACAGGAATCGCAGAAGGAAATGGGAATTGCAGAAGGAAACACGGCAGAAGAGGAGGGAACAAAGGGGGTGTCCCCTCCGGGTGATGGGGGGAGCAGCCGGCCCCAAGCCCCTCATCCTGGAGGGCTGCTCCATCGCAGCATCGCTCGCCAGCGCTCCCCGCGAAGCAGCGGTACCCAGCCCCGAGGATGGAGGGTGGGGGGACACGGACCCCGCTCCCCCAAATCCTCCAGGTGCGGGGAGAGGCGGCTGCTCTCGCCCCGCTCCGTCGCCTCTGGCCAGAGGGAGGCCCTCCCCGCTCTCCCTCGCCCCGGGGATCCCCCCCACGCAGGCCAGGCCCGCAGCCAGGCTGCGCCCGCACGCCCGCACCCCACCCCCCCCGGGCCCGAACAGCCCGCCCCGGGCCACAC